CAGGTCCGGCCCGGCAGGGAGGGGACGTTCCGGTCTGGAGCCTTTGGGATGACGCTGTGGGGCCACTGCTCCCGCCAGGCCCGGGCAGGAGCAAGAGGTGTGCGGGGACAGCTAGTGCCACCGCAGCCCCTCATACTTAGGTGCGTGCCCCTGCTTGCAGCCCGAGCCGGGGGAGCCCCGCGTCGCGTTCCCGTCGGCCAGGTCTGAGGCAGAGGTGCCGATGGGGAGGTTCTCCTCCTCTGTGCGTCCTTAAGGTTCACTTGGGCTTTGGAGGAGTGGGTGCGATCATGTCCGGGAGCCAGGTTTTGGATCCTTGTACTGGGCAACAGACAGAGGAGGAACAGATGTAGGAGAGGTGTGGGTGCTGTGCTGATCGGGCAAGGCACGGATATCGTGTACCTGTCTCTGGTGGGGCTCGCTGTCAGAGAATTTGACTTTCTCTCTTGTTTCTCCCGTTTTCCACCAGGGAAGGGAAACTACTGGACCTTAGATCCCAACTGTGAGAAGATGTTCGACAATGGGAACTTCCGTCGCAAGCGCAAGCGGCGCTCTGAGCCCAACGCCCCCGCGACTGCATCTGCGGCCTCCTCTCTGGGGGGCCTGAAGGCCGAGGAAGAGCGACCCATACCAGCTGCGGGCAAACCCTGTGGAAACAGCCCACCCCCAGAGCTGGACCCCTCGCCTTCTGCCAGGGACCATCCAAAAAGCTCCTCTCCCTCCGGTATCATTTCATCCACCCCTAGCTGCCTCAGCACCTTCTTCAGTGGCATGAGCTCCCTGAGCAGCGGAGGCAGCCGGCTGACAGGGGGTCTCGGCAGTGACCTGCATCACAGGAACTTCTCTGCTGGACAGCTGAGCAGTGGCACTTTCACCCCTTCCAGCAGCTCTTCTCAGGAGGTGCCTTCACCAGACCAGCTGCAGCGGGTTGCAGGACCTTCCCCTGCCTACTACAGCTCCTTCCATCCCAGCAGCAGCAGCCAGGGAGCCCAGTACAACCACTACTACAACTTCACGGTTAACAGCCTCATCTACACCCGGGATGGAACAGAGGTGTAGGATGCTGGGGCAGTCGGCCGGCGAGCGCTGCAAAGGGAATGGGAGTTGCAGGTGTATTTTGGCAGCATAGAGGACCATACGCTTTTGCAAACAGCATTTCAATGTGGACACTTTTCCAGGAGTTCTTCCAGGAAGACAGATCTTCTCACCTTTCAAAATAAGATCACCTCTTAAACACCAGCAGAAGGCAGATGCAAAGTCTTTTCCCCATCCTGGAAAATGTTAGGCAGTTTAGATGGCTTGCCATCTAAATTCTGCAGATGAAAACGAACTGAATTAATATTTTCAGAGGTTTCTGATCTTGAATGTAGAATAAGAAGTTTAAAAACTATGACCATAAAGCGGTATCAGCAAGAGCCAAGTGTAGACATCCAGTGAGTCTTAGAAGAGAACAGGAAAAAAAAAATGAAGAGATTTCTTATGAAGTGCCTTGTACAATGTATTAAAAAACTCTTTGGCCAGCAATTGCCTCTGCAAGCCCTTGCTTTCTACCCTGATCCTGCAATATGCAATGCACCGGGGGGATACTCTGGGTAAACACCCACCCAAAACCTCCTCGGCACGCACGGAGGTTCGCTCTGGTCTTCCTGTGTATGGCATATTGTACTGCCAGGGCTGTGTTTTGTAAAACAGTCTTTTTCCCTGAGCTTAGTACCAAAGATAACTCTAGCCATGCAGCTTTAGCGCGAGAATAAACATTGGGGTATTTTTATACATATTTGTACGTAATGTAACTCTTCTGTACATATGTTTCTATGTGGTTTTATATTTGTAAATTATGCTCTGGAACTGTACTTATTTATAACGTGTTTTAAACTTTGTTAAAGTTTATTTTACTTTGTTTCCCCTTCTTTTTTGTTGTTTTATTGGTTTTGAATTTTTTGTTGGTTTTGTTCGTTGAATTTTTTGTTCGTTAGTGTATTAATGAAACTTTTCAGGCTGAGCAGCTGTTGGGAATAAAATGTTAACAATTGTTAGATTTTTGCCTGGTTGTTCCTCAATATGTTTGAGGTATTTCAAAACTCTGTGGGAGACAGGTTTTGCTTTCACGTGGTTTGGGATAAAAGGTGCAAAGATTTATGAACAATTTCATCTGCAGAGTACGACAGAAAAAAAATGCTTTGGGCCCAAAGGAGACACATCTGAGCTGATTTGCAGCCTCTCATAGTCTCACTGTACAGAGTGGGTGCTCTGGGCTTTTTTCTTTGATTGGTTTTGTCAATGGTCTGAATTAGAATCCCAGAATAGCTTGGGTTGGAAGGGATGTTTAAAGGCCATCTAGTCCAACCCCCCTGCAGTGAGCAGGGACGTCTTCAACTCGATCAGGTTGCTCAGAGCCCCGTCCGACCTGACCTGGATGTTTCCAGGGATGGGGCATCCACCACCTCCCTGGGCAACCTGGGCCAGTGTCTCACAACCCCCAGTGTGAAAAATTCCTTCCCTATATCTAGTCTAAATCTGCCCTCTCTTTATTTTAAAACCATCACTCCTTGTCCTATTGCAACAGGCCCTGCTAAGAAGTCTGTCCCCATCTTTCTTACAAGCCCCCTTTAAGCCCTGGCAGCTGCAATAAGGTCTCCCCGGAGCCTTCTCTTCTCCAGGCTGAACAACCCCAGCTCTGTCCTTTTTCAGCCTGGTTTAGTAAAGAAAAAAATAAAATAAAAGTTTGCAAAAGGAAAGGAGGCAGGGCTGGTTCCAGCATGGTGCTAGCCAGCAGGAGCTTGACTGTTGGCTTGATCCGTTTTGCAAATCAGTTTTTCGAATAGGATTGCACCTGCTTAAAATGGCAGGCTAGCTGGGAAGTCAGGGCCGTCAGCTAGCTAGCGGGCCAGGCGGAGCTCTGCTGTAGACAGGCGCTCCTGAGAATCTCCTGATTCACGCCGCTGGGAAAGGAGAATCCATCCCAGAGCAGCCATTATGCAAAACGATCAACTCCCAATTCTTGCCCTTCGCATAAGCTGTTTGTTGGGTGCTGTGTGCGGCTAGAGCATAAATATAAATGTCTTCATGAGGAATGCAGCATCAATAATGAAGTTAAACATGAAATTACAGCTACTTAACATATATGCATCTGCCGTGATGTAAGGCCATCCCTGCAGGCTATTCAGAAAACAAAATTGTTGGCAGTGCGATGCAGCGCCTCTTCACTGGCTACCTGCATCACACACAGGGTAGTGATGCAAGACAAACCACTGGCCTGATCCAAAATATAATGAAGCCATGACGAAACGTCAGATGACTTCCATGTGCTTGGGATTGGGACCAAGTACTTTCCCCAGCACTGGCCGACCGCCATTTGTGCAATAGCTGAGACCAGTGGGCGGGTGGCAACTCCTGCCTCATCCCCTTCTCGCTCACCCCTTCCCAGCACAGATATCATCTTCCTGGCTTTAGGGGTAATTCCGCCATGTCTTGATTTTTAACTGCATCTCAGGTGACGCAAGGGTGGTGATAATAGGAGGGAAAGGGCGGACTGCCACTAGCAAAAAACCAGGGTGGTCAGTCTTGTCCTGCTCAGGTTCAATCACACCGGGTGTGGAATAGCTTTATTTGGATTGTGGACTGCTGAGTTTGATCTAAAAGCGGTGAAGGGATTCCCAACACCTTCAAAAGATGTAGAGCCAGTCCTTAAGTAAGCCCGGAACTGCTTACTCGCATCTGTAAGTGACCATTGCACCCTTTCTCTGCTCCACCAGCCTGTTGTCAGACCTTAGCAAGCAGTGGGCCAATGTGGGTCACTTGCATGTGTCCAGCTCATGTTCATCCACCCAGAAGATTTGTTTCAGGATATACCCTCTGCCACTTCCACCAGCTGTATGTTTCTGCAGGCAGTATCTCCAAGCATTTGCTCCTGGAGATCCCAAATCAGTGGCAAATTTGTGTTGCTGTGTGGTCTGCCTCTGGCAGTCTGACCTCAGCAAATATCCCATGGCTCAACAGACCTTCTCGTGCCACCGTATGTTGGGTGATGGCATAGCCAGAACCTGCCAGAGCAGAGCCACGGAAGGATTCACCCACCGCAGTGCTCCAGCCCTGCTCCTGAGGGATGGTGGTGGGCTCTAGGGAGATTTTGGCCGGTCTAACTGTCCCCAGTGCACCTTTCCTGCCATTAGCACCAAATCCTGCTCCTTCCAGAGAAAGTGAGCCCTTAGCTGGAACCAGTGGCCCCTCCTGCGGACACACCACCCCAAAGGTTGGTGTGCTCGTGATAAAGCAACCTGCCCAAGGGACACTTGAGAGTAGATTTCAGCAAATAGACACCTAGTCTGCTGAGAGGAGCCAAGTGAATGAGCTAATGGCAGCCTTTTAGGTTTCCTTTTGTCATTAAAAGAGACTCTTCTTTTAGCAAATCTTGGGAGAGGGAGGGCAAGAGGATTGAGTTTAATGAAAGGCACTTAAAAGCAGCAGGGCTATTGTCATGGGCTTTGGGGATTTATGTGATTCCTCCATTGCAGGAGGGGGAAGACAAAGGCAATTAGCCTGCTGGTCCCACCCTGAGAGTCCCCACTCCCCTCTAAATGCCAAGGCCATGCCTGGGATGGGCAGTTCTCCATGACAATGAGCCTCTTACCAGCCTGGGTCAGGTGATAGCCCAGCAGCCCAGGGCACAGCCTGCTCCCAGGGAAGTCAGTGGAGAAATGTCCTTCCCTTGGAGAGGGGCTCAAACTTCAGCCCTCCGTCCTCTCTGCTCTGGCAGCCGTAGCAATCGCCCTGTAAAATGACTTCTTCTGGCTTTGAGAGAGCAGTGATCTCATGGGGAGCAGCTGGGAGCCCACAGATCCTAAAGCTAAGCGTCACAAGAAGTGTCATCTTTGCTTGGTTTCTCCACAATTTCTAGGCATCTAGAAGGATGCCACCTCAACTGACGCAGCGCAACTGGACTCGATGTGAAACCATGGTCGTGCTGATGACAGCAAGCACAACCGCCGCGTACCTCTGCCCTGCGCTGCCTGTACCCTCCGACACTGCCAGCCAGGGACTGTGACTCCTCCGGCACACACACCCGCTGAAAAAGGCAGTCCCTGCTTGAAAAGAAGTACAGTCCAAAGGCATTTCAAGAGACACGTTGGCTCGGTAACGCAGATGCTTGCTGGCTCCTACGTGTGGCACCTCTCCAGCACGGGGTCGTTTAACTTTGCTCGGCGCTGGCCTTATCGACATGCCAGCAAAGGTTCAGGCAGGCACCCACTGCAGGTCTGCACTTGAGCTACTCCACATTACAAAGGCTTTGCCAGTACAGCTGGATCAGCCCAGTCCCCTAGAGGAGACCCGGCTCCCATCAACAAAGGAAACTCTTGTGCCAATAAAGCTAAACCCCCCCACCCCCAGCAACACAGTGTATTGCGGGGCGGTGGGAGGGGATTCAAGAGGCAGAACACAGCCATCCGCGCTGGGTTTCATCGCCCGCCAACTCTTTTGGAAAAGGGCTTCAATTACTGCCACTGGCCATGGACTGTGGTTTGCATCTCCTCTGAAGGAGGAGGCTTTTGATTTGTCCTGTCGCTCACAAAGTCCGTGAAAGTTGGCCACAATAACTTGTGCTTGTACAGAAGGTTTTATTGCTTTTTTTAATGCTGACTGGGGATGATATTTCCCTGAAATCTTTAGGAATTGTTCAAAAGATGTAGTAGTGTTCAAGGAAACTACAGATATCCTGCCCTTGCTGTATTTCTACCAATGGAAAATCTTCATCAGACTTCTTGAGGTACGGCCACAAGCCCTGCAGATCTCACCCGACTTCGAATGCGATGTACCTGAATCCTGTCCTGCTCGTTCATGGGAGGCAGTCCTGTCGGTCCCATCCTGATAGCACATAAAATAAGAGGGACAAAGCCTCGTTTCGTAGCTTGACCCAAGAGAGGCAAGATGAGAATCAGACCTGGCTAATGGTACATGGATGGCTGATGTCTCAGCTAGAAATAGCTGTGCCAGATGGAGATTGCGATTGTTGGGAAATTGTTCTTTCTCCTTAGGCTTTGGCAAAAAAAAAAGACTGGTTT